GGAAGCTGTCCCTGCAGAAGAACGTCCTCTGCAGGAGCTGTGGGGGTGAGCGGGGGGGGGGGGGGGGGGGGGGGGGGGGGCACCACCAGCCTGCTGCGCTGGGAGGCTTGGGGAGCAGGACGGACCTGTTGCTGAGCCCAAAGCTTCACCCGATACCCAGCTGAGCCACAATGCGCCAAGCAAGCGCTCTCGACTTGGGCGTGTTCAGAAGCTCCGCAAGCCGCAAAAATGCTCCGGAGCTGGAATTAGCCGATGATCGGAGCTCTGGCTAAGCCAGGACTGGCTGGGCGGGTTCTGGGCCCAGCGGCTGGACGCAGAGTGGATTTGGGGGGGGGGGGGGGGTTCGGGGGGGGGGGCCCCCTTTCTGGGGGGGCTGGGCGGGGGGGGGGGGGGCGCCCCCCCCCGCTGGGCTGCAGAATCAAGGGTGGCTGAAAGAGGTGGGGGAGCCCCCAGCGAGGCCGTCCTGGCCTCCTCCGAGCGCCCACTCTGTCTCCGCAGGCCGTGGGGGCAGGGAGGGCCTTGACGTCCGGTGTCCCAAGTGCCACGGGTCCGGCATGGAGGTCATTGTCCATCAGCTGGGGCCCAACATGGTGCACCACATCCAGGCCATGTGCTCGCAGTGCCAGGGCCAAGGGGAGTGGGTGCGGCCCCTCGACCGCTGCCTCGCCTGCAACGGCCGGAAGGTCATCCGGGAGAAGAAGATTCTCACCGTCCACCTGGACAAAGGTGAGCCCTGCTGGGGAAGGGGGGGGGCGGGGGGGGCTGAACTTTGCTGGCTGCCCCGTCCTTGATGCCCCTTTCCACCTCCTTGGGCCCCCTTTGCACCCGCAAGGATGTCGGTTTAGTTTCAGATTCCTGGCTGAGTTGTCACCGTGGTTCCTTTTAATCCCTTCCGGATGATTGAGTTGATAGCCTGTTGCCAAGCAACGGACCCTCCCTCCTGCCCCGTGGGTGGGAGAGGGTTTGCCCCCCAGGCTGGCTGCTTCTAGCCCACAGCTCTCCCCCCCCCAGGCATGGCCGACCGGCAGAAGATCACCTTCCACCAAGAGGGGGACCAGGCCCCTGGATTTGAGCCCGGGGACATCGTGATCGTGCTGGATCAGAAGCCGCACCCGGTCTTCCAGCGCAGCGGCAGCGACCTCATCGTCCGGCGGGAGGTGCCGCTGGTGGACGCCCTGTGTGGCTGCAAGCAGGTCATCCGCACCCTGGACAACCGGAGGCTCCTGGTCTCTTCGCGGCCTGGTGAGCTGCTGGGGGCCCTCTGGGCTTGGGAGGGAGGGGGGGAGGGAGGCCCCTTTCCTGGGGGGGATCCTGGGGGGGGGCTGCTGCCCGCCCTTCACCCTGCCTGCTCTGCCCCACAGGCTGCGTGATCAAGCCTGGCGACATCCGGTGCATCCCGAACGAGGGAATGCCCGTCTACCGCAGCCCCGGCCAGAAGGGCAGGCTGGTCATCCACTTCGAGGTACGGAGACCCTCGGCTGCCCCCAGCCGGCTCCTTTGGGGTGAGGTCTTCTGAGTCTCTAGTCTTACGCAGACACCCCCCCCCCCGGCAAACCTGGCTGGCTCTAGACCCCGATCTGAGCAAGGGGGGGGGAGGAGGAGGAGGAGAGCCAAAGTCATTGGCCGCCTTGGGGCCCCCATAGCCCCCCCCC